AGATAACACAATTGCCAGACTTTCTAAAAACTAAAAACAGAGCGCGATTAAGAGCTGTTGAGGAAGAGCTTCATGTTTGCCGTTCTTCAATTCCTGCCAGAGTGTCATCTTTGTGTTCTGCTAAACAGGCCCAGGTTTCACACTCAGTGTAAAAAGATCAAGAGACTAACTTGCCATTATGTGTACTGTATTAGGCTAGAATGTGTCATTTTGGAACAGGTTTGGTTGGTGGTGAGCTGTGGGATATTTTTAATCTATAAAATGTGCCGTGACTCAAAAAAGGTTGAAAAACACTGCATCAGACACCCGTCTTTTCCACGACAGATGCAGATCCTATTTTTGCATCAATATTGCCCATTCACCAACAAAACTTTTCACTTTTCAAAAATTATTTGAAAAGTGTTTTTTTCTATCAGACCTTTGACCCAAAGCTCCTTTGAAAAAGCCAATTTCATTACAATGCCACAGCTTAGGCTGCTCTCATTTCCAGAAAGCTCTGAGTACAAATGGAAGTTAATAAATCACAACAAAAATTTCTGGCACAACTTCACGTGCTTCCAAGGTGCATGGAGAGGATGAACTCAGCAACACTTAAAGGGAAGAGGAACAAATTTATTGACTGACCAACACGTTTTGGCTTTTAAGACAGGTGGAGATTATGTGTGTTCCCCCCATCAATAGAATAGAATAGAATAGAATAGAATAGAATTCAACTTTATTGTCATTGCACATGTCACCAGTACAAGGCAACGAAATGCAGTTTGCATCCATCCATATAAGCCATAATATAGATATATTACAAAATATATATTAGCAATAATATAGGTATATAGATATATTACAGAAATGGGTCTATTATGGGTTTGTTACAATGTACACGGTATGAAGGTATGTTATGAATATGCTATAACTATAAGTATGTACAGGCTGTAGTTGGTATACAAGCTATGTACAGGCTATGAACAGGATATAAATATGAAACTATACATACATATGAAATATAAAGCTATACAGAAATATGCAAGTTATAAACAGTTGTAAACAGTTATAGAATTATAATGATCTAGTCCAGTATTTACTTGGGCGTGACTTAACCAATTAACCAATACCAACCTGTTATATGTCAGCTGGTTTATCTATGAAGATGTGATTGCTTAAGTACATTTTTTTTTCAGTTTCCTGCCTTTTATTTAAGCAAACTTCTACTATGTGTTACTTTGACCCTGATGAAGGCCACAAGCCAAAACGTGTTGGACAGTCAAAAAAGTTGTTCCTCTTCCCTTTAAGTGTTGCTGGAGTCCCTGCATTGCATACATGTGGAAGTTAAAGTGAAACCAGTCATTTCTTGCACTAAATGTTAGGGGCTAACTTTAACTCTTTTTAAACGTTAGACAAAGAGATGTTTGATGGACTTACTGCAGTTGATTTCATCGCTGTTGTCACCACAATCGTCCCAGCTATCACATTGAGAAGTATTGCTGACGCATCTGTTATTGTTGCACTGGAATTTTCCTGGACAAGCTGATAAGACAAACACAAAATCAGTTCATCTATTTTTCTGATTCAGAAAATATGTTAGTCTTTCAAGTAATCATTTTTTTAAATTATCTTATTGATCATTTGGGTTGAAGTCAGTATTCATCAGTGAAACCCCAGTTGACATGTAGATCAAGTCGTTCAAGTAAATCAAGTTTTTGTTTTCCGCTCTCATGCTGACCTCTCATAAGGAGCCCAGTATGAGTAGATGTCTCTTTTTGCCCTCCTCCACTTGCCCATTGTATTGTACATTTCAATCTTTTTTTCCAAATTACCACCTGTCTCTGACCTGTCTTCCCACGT